AAGCAGGCTCCCCGCTGAGCAGGGAGCCCGATGCGGGACTCGATCCCGGGACTTCAGGATCATGACCTGAGCTGAAGGCAGTCACTTAACCAACTGAGCCACCCAGGCGCCCGAGATTTTTGTCTTTTATACACGGTAGCACTAAAGGCAAGTACTTGTTAGGTAGCCAGTACGTTTTAGGTAATTGATTGATTTTGTATTTATTGGTTTAAATTATTGTCAATGCATATACATTTAAACATGTAAGTATTAATTATTAGAATCCATTTTTAGACAGTGGGCTTAAACAGACTCTCAATAATATCTGTTATTTGAGTAGTTTACATTAAGTTCTAAGAATGTATGAGTTGATTTTATAATATTTTTAATATAGAGAAAACTTTTATAATGTTGGATATGTTCTTTAAAAATGAGATTTAAATCTCATCTTAAAATATACTTTGAAAAATAATCATCTGAGAAATTTTCCATTAGAGGAGAGTTTGATTCTATTTCCATCTCCACTGCTATTTTTCCTCTTGAATGTGACCTTGAGGAATAATATCTCTTTATATTTTTATTAGGTCAGGAAAAACCTAGGCATCTCGTCATTGACTGTTGCTGGGATAGCTTCTTCCATGAGACTTCTGCCTTCAAGTTTAGTGGTCTGAGTCACACACAAGGTATGGATTTCAACTTTATATTCTGTCATTCTATATGCTTTTATATTTCAGAGATGATGAAATTATATGTCTCTTATCTTAATATATATTTAATAACAATTACACAATTAAATATTTGGGCATGAATTTTAATAAGTTGATAGAAAAACATGGATAGTATAATCTTTATATATATTCATTATATCTTTACTGTTTTTCATTCCATAGCACATAAATACAACTTGTAAAATATTTTGTCTTTGAGATTTTGAATGTTCGAAAGTCATTTTGACCACTTAATACTTAAGTGTGTGAGGGGTGCCTGGCTGGCTCAGTCAGTAGAGTGTGCAACTCTTGATCTCTGGATTGTGAGTTTGAGCCCTACATTGGGTTTGGAGATTACTTAAAAATAAAATCTTTAAAAAAAATAAGTGTGTGAGTCTAAGAAGATTTTGGAAAATTAAAAATAAATAGTATGCTAAAGCTATTCATAATCATGAAAAATAATTGCATCTTCACAAAGCTAATGATTCCCTGAAAATTTATTAGAGGGTGTACGTCTATTTGTACTATGTATTAATCATCCCACCTGCACATTGATGAATAGGAGAAAATCTAAGGCATAAGAAATAATGAAGTTGCTTAAAAATCTAAAACTCAAAAAATATTAATTTGCTTAAAATAATATTTTAATTACATTAAATTAGTCATAATAGTTATGGTAAACATGATAAAATATGAATTATCTTAACATAATACAAAAATACTAACTGGAATTGGCAACAATTATTAACATCCCAATACAAATGGGTTCATGACTTTATTCTATTTATTGTACTATTTCTATCAGCATCCTAAATCTCATTTTTTTATTTCATTTGATACAACTCCATAGTGTAGGTGTTATTATTACTCTTATTGAATCAAGGAGATTGCAATTCAGAAAAATTAACTTACATAAAATCAAAACAGTTGCTTAATGGCAAAGCTAAACCTCCTTGTGTATGACTTTAAAGTCTTTGTTTTCAATTTCTTTGTAACACATTAAAAAGAGTGTAAACAGCAGTTCTCAAAGAGTAAGTTGCAGATGGCCAAAGAATGATTGAAAATATGTTCATAGTCACTAATATTCAAAAAGATGTTGATTTAAATGATAGCCATGTAAGTTTTCTTTTTCCTTTTTGTCTTTATTTTTTTTTATTCCTTGAAACCATGGTGAAATTTGAACAAGTACTGCTTTGGGGAATGTAAATCACAACATAGCTTCTGAAAAGCACGTTGTGTAATGTATATAAAGAAACTTAGAAATTATCACTCTTTTGACCCAGTAGTTGCAATTCTGCTGAGATCTTTTTTTTTTAAGGTTTATTTATTTATTTTATAGGCGGGCAGAGGGAGAGGGAGAGAGAGTCTTAAGCCGACTCCAAGCTGAGCACAGAGCCCAACGTGGGGCTCAGTCTCATGACCCTGAGATCATGACCTAAGCCAAAACCAAGAGTCCGACCCTTAACTGACTGAGCCACCCAAGCGCCCCTCTGCTGAGAGCATTTAAAGAACGAATCAAAATATTGCACTGTTTATAACAGCAAAAAGTTGGAAACCACCTGAATGCCAAATAACAACCTTATTATATTCGTATTAATTATTTACATGTCTGCTTATATTTTAATTTTACTTATCCATTGAGTATATGAGACACTTTCTTTCTTAAAAATTTTTTCCATTGGTTCTACACTTTCAGTCTTTCCACATTATGAACTCCATAAAAAATTCACCTACATTTTCTTTTTCTTCTTCTTTGTAATGGAGAAGGAGTTACACGTAAATACGCAGCTTTTTCATTTACTCCTTTAATTCATCTAGGTTTTGCTTTTTTGCTATGTAATTATAATCTAATTTGATTCCCCTCATTTAATTTAGCAAGTTTCCCATCTTTTCATTTGATAATAATAATCATTCTGTAGCTATTTATTTTTTTGCAGCCTGTATTCAGATCATACTCTCTTACGTGTCTGTATATTTCAGGTCTTGTTCTAGTGCCATGCAGTTTAAATCCTACAATTTTATGTTTTCTTTTTTTTTATGTTTTCTTATTCTATTTCTTTCTTTTTATGATCTCTTAAATAATTTATTTCTGGGGCGCCTGGGTGGTTCAGTCAGTTAAGCATTCGACTCTTGGTTTCAGCTCAGGTCATGACCTCAGGGTCGTGAGATCGAGCCCTGCATCAGCTCTGCGCTCAGCGTGGAGTCTGCTTCAGATCTCTCCCTCTTCCTCTGCCCCTCCCGCTTGTGTGCACTCTCTCTCTCTCAAATAAATGAATAAATCTTTTTTAAAAATGAATTAAAAACATAGTTTATTTCCTTTTATCACCTATTTATCCTTGTAGAAAAAATTTAGAATAACTTTGTCAAGTTTCAAAGAAGCCCCAATAAACATTTGATCGCAATTACATTAAACCTATAGACAAATTTGGGGAGAACATCTTTGCAATAATCTTCTTCTCCAGGAAGATTATTTCCTTGTTATTTTCAAGCATAGTGTTCATAAGTGTCAATAAAGTTCATTTTTTACATAGTAAAAACATAAAGCTTCCAGTACCCGTACTTTTATTTAAATAATCCAAATAATGGGTGAAAGGGGCCAGAAGGTAAAAAAATAAATACATAAATAAAAATAAAATGCCAGGGAATTGCCTCCTCTAAACATGGAGTTGTGTATGGGAATTATGGAAATTGTTTCTTTTACCAAAGTCAACTGCATTAGTTTACAAACCTTTTATCTTTGTCTATTAATTTTGAACTGCTCATATATTGAAATGAATTTCCTTGTGGTTTTTTTTTGATTCCTAGGTCTTTATTCTTCAAGTGATTTCTAATATAGTTTTAAATTTAAATAAATGAGTAATCCAGTTAGTAATTATATATAATGTAATTTCTATGCAACACAGACCAACATTGTGTGTTCCAATTTTAAATTTTCTAATTTGAAAAAAAAGAGAGATTCTGAAAGTACTTTCTTAATTATAATTTATATTGTTCTAATTGTCTTCACATCATTTTCAAATTTAATCTGATGTTCTCCTGCATTCCATATTGATTTCTCTAGTGTCTTCTGTGACTTGTTTTTTCAATAAACAATGCACATCCTGCCTGTGTGGTGGGTTGACAGTTCAAGATGTACTCCCTGCTGCTCTATATAATAAAATCTCCAGGGCGCCTGGGTGGCTCAGTTGGTTAAGCGACTGCCTTCGGCTCAGGTCATGATCCCGGAGTCCCGGGATCGAGTCCCACATCGGGCTCC